ATTATCATATGGGCTTGGGATGTCCTCCCAGGAAATATAATAGTCTAATTAGCCCTCTTTTAGAAATCGGTAATTTGTGAACATGGCCAAGGGCAGATGGGGCTCTGAAAGCAGACCAGGGCACAAATGGTTGACAAACTCTGCCAAAGAAAACATTCAGTTGGGTGATGGGATTTTTAGCCCAACAGCTGGAGGCCCATGGATTTCCTTCTGGGGAATGCCGAACTATGCATTACTTTCCCTATCTGTATTTCATATCTGCGTTTACGCAGGAAAAGTGAGACCTTCTGAGAGACTGAATGATTGCAGCCCACTGTTCTTGTTTAGCATCATGAGCGAAAATGATAATTTATAAATGTTCCTGCCATGCCTGAGCTATTGCTACATTTGTCTTCAATCAAATGGCGCTGCATTTGATTGAAACAGCTTGGCCATCTTATATTAAATGCACATTATTACTCTGGGTATGAAAATGTTATTACAGTGGATGTAATAAGCTTTTATGTGCAATTTGTATCACAGAAGGCTCTTTTAAAAATAAAATCTAACATTGCAGCATGGAAAAATGAAATGACAAGAACTTTGCTGATAGATTTTGACTTCCTGAGAAAAAGATGATCTAACAGCTCTTAAGAAATGTAATTCAGACAAGGGGTATTAAAATAGTTTTACAAGAGCAAATTTATCACAGATGTAGTACACTTTGCTTATCAGGAATTGCTCCATTCCCTTGCCTGTGCATTTTACACTGAAACCTACCTCTAAATTCCTAATGTTGGACAGGAAATCATCAAGCATCATCTAACCATTCTAACTATAATTTCAGTCCCCAAGTCCTTAGATGGAGGAATGCAATTTCCACATTACATTTTTGTCACATATAAAAAACTGGTATTTTTAGAAGTCTGTTTTCTCTCCACTGCCACCGCCCTTCATGCATTAAGGTAAAATACTTAAATGTCCATTATACAGACAAATAAATTTCCACATGCAATATTATTATGTAGGATGATCGTTAGTCCATTCTCCCTCTACTGGGTGTGCTCCCAGATGCTTTGGACTACAGCTTCCAGCACTTTTTCCCGTTAGCCATGCTGGCTGAAAATTGTAATCCAAAGCATCTGAACCCCAGATAATCCTACAAGCCCCACAGATGGTGTCGGGGGGATAGTGTTGTGTTTTTAGAAACAGCTAAGAACAGTGCATAATTTTCTGCTTTAATTCAATGAGATGAAGACGTTAACTGTGTAACATGCGGACTGTAAAAAACTTCCTCTAAGAAACTTAAAGGAATAATTGTCAAACATGCAAGAAATAAGTACTTATTAGACTTCTAGCCTGGCTTTTTTCTTACAAAGAACTCAAAACACCTTACATAATTCTCTTCTTCCTGCTCACAAGAACCCTGTGAGGCAGGGTGGGCTGAGAGTCTGTGACTGGCCCAAAGTCACCCAGTTTGCTCCATGGCCGAGCGGGGCCTAGAACCCAGATCTCCTGACTCTAACCCTAACCACACATTTCTGAATGGTAAGTTCATAATACACCTTTTCAAAGAACAAAAAAGCATAGCAATTTAGAAAGTTGCAGTGCTTGTTTCTGCCTAGAATTGATGTATTTTTTAAATCCAAATTAGGGATAGTTGTCCTTTCTTTTCAAATGCAAAACCACCCAACACCCTGAAAATGTTGACTCACAGACAGCGGTGCAGCAGGCAGAAGTCTGCAACAGCCCGAAGCTGGTACATACCTGAAAAGGCTGGTACCTTTCTGGAAGTACATTTGGGTTGCTCTGTTTTCCTAAAAGATCTTTGGCATAGAAAACTCATTCTTCATCTGGATTCAGATTCCTAGGAAACTATGTGGAATAACCAGCTTAAAGTTCAGGTGAACAGATGCCACTACAGTGCTTTTATTATTTTCTGCACAAAAAAATCTCCTGTTCATTTCAGTAAGACCAGTATCATATATATATGATACAGTTTTGAAATATATTTTCAGTTGTTCACTTCCTGTTTCACCTTTTTGTTTATCTTTTGTTAAAATATATATGTTGGGGTCACATGTATCTTTTTAAGCCTTTGAGGTCAAGTTTCTTCATCACTGTTGGATTCCTGCAATTGTTTAGCTTTTTGATGGACTTCACAGAAAGGACTGTTTTCATCCTTTCCCATTAAGGACTCAGGAAAAGGAAGGAAAAATAGCTGCTATGGTTGTGAATACCATGACTGCTTTGAAAAGACTAAAGGATAACGTAAGGTGCAGTCCAATCAGCCCCATGAGGGATGCTCAGACGCCTTTGCAGTTGGAGCCTTGTGAGCATCCAGTGTAAGACAGCAACGTGTGTGTGTGTGTGGCCTCACCCTGGCTACAGAATTATACAACCTTCCTTTCCCATAGAATGTAGACCTGTTTCACTTTTGTGGAAAGCTCTTCATCTGCACACAACTGAACGTAGGCACGAACCAATTACTGTGCAAAGGGGTCGAAATGAATTTGCCCTTCTGAATTTTGCAATATTTCTTGCTTCCTTTCCCAGATTGCTACAACTCCAATCTGTAGCTTTTGCCCTCAAGGGCTCTGATGACCAGCTGGTAGCATTTCTTTTGAAAATGCCAAGAAGTGGACCATTGCATTCCTATTCTCTAAATGGGAAGTTTTCATACTTTTTCAGTTGCTTATTCATAAGCTCCCCTTCCCCCAATCCCAAAATGTACCCTTGCCAGTATCCTACCTCTCTAGCATCTTTACCCATTTTTCCATTGCTGCTGCTACTGATGCCAGTTAACAGTAATGGGTCTGACATGCAAGAAAAGCAGGACACATCAGCAACTGCCAGCTATGTAGGTGCAGCAATGCAGTTAGGTGTGATAAGTGAACATCAGAAGATCCATTAAAACAAAAAGTCCTATAGCCCTTGGTACCCTCTGGGAAATGCTTTGAAAGGCTGCAGAGGTGGCAGCCCATCAAGATGTTTACCATCCTGTTCTTAGACTATAAATGTATGTTATACCGAGTGGGTAAATATTTAACAGAATGTTGCATCTGACCTTTTCCACAGATAATGCTGTGTCTGTATTTATACTGGGTAGAAGGCCAGCACCATGAGCCGCATGATCACCAAAAATACATCCTTTGGAGTGATGCTGAAATCAAATGTGGTGCCTGGAAGCTTTAGATTAATAACCTTGAAAAATCAAAAGTATGTTATTATTCAAATGTTCACTATATTATTCACAATGTTGTGAAGTTATGTCTCCAGATCAGTTAGGACACAACTCTGAACTGGAAAGATGTTACTAAGCTCACCAGAAGTCCTATCAGCTAACTTTCAACAAAGAATGTGCAAGAAATCAATAGGTGCTGTTGGACATGTCTGTATGTGATCCTGAAGTAACATTCCACTAGGAAGCATAAAAGCTCAGATTTATGTATCACAGCTCCATTTCCATTTCAGAAGATGTAGCATTTCCCAAAGGTGCATATTAATTGTGATAATATATGTTCCAATTGTGGAGTTGTGGTTCATTAAACCTTAATGTAATGTAATAATCTTAGTTGAAAAACCTTTAAATATTTATTAAGACATGTAAATATTTAAAGTACAATTTTAATACCAAACAACCAAACTTGATCTGGTCTCTTGTGTTGCTTCTGCATGTTTAAAACCTCAGTGTTTAACTATCTTGCTAGCAATGCTGATTGACCTATTTGCTGGTCTTATTAGACTCTAGCCATTGCCATGACCCAATTACCAGCCCAAAGGCAAACACTGTTCAGGAATGGGCCATCCATGGCAAGTCTTCACTGTTTCCATGCTAGAGTCAAACAAACCTAAGATGTTACCACAGGTATTACAGCCGTTGGATCCATCACAATTTGGGCAGCCAGGAAGTTCTCAGCCAGATGGATAGTGAAAATCTCAAAAACAGATAGGCAAAATGGTTAGGCAATCTGAAAACACACACCCAAACTTTAGCCCCAGAGATTAGTCAGCATGATTGTTGGTGAGTCAATACAACAATGGAATCTTCAATCTTTCCCTTAATTCCAACATATTTATGTGATTCCAAGATTACATTGTATGCCACTTGGTGGTTTTTCTAGAAGATTGGGGTATAAATAATTATTCATTGTTAGATATATCTGGCACTTGACACCAGTGAAAGATCAAGTCTTCCTAGATAACAGAAATTGAAAATGAAGTATCTGCTTCTGGTGTCTTCCTCATATTCGGCAAGTATGTACCAGCATCACTACAAAATACTCAATTTCTGTCCACTCAGGAGATATTTTAACATGGCCATAGCTGGGAGAAAGGCTGACCCTATAGCTGCCATGCTAAGTAAGCAAAACTAGTGTGTATATGAGAAGTGGGTAATGGCAAAATTGCAGCATTTGCATCTGCCATCTTCATGTTGAGTGAACTCTCCAGCATTTGCATCCAGTATTTGCATCTATATTCCTCATACTGAGTGAATTCTCCAGTGGTACAAAGGAACTGTAAAATCAGAGAACAATTAGATAGCAGTAGTTCTTTGAACTACAGGGGACGTCATCTATCAGGAATACATGTCAATCAATACGGCCTTAAGAAGGAATCCAGTGTGGCATGGTGGTTAAAGTGTTGGACTGGGATTTGGGAGATCTGGGTGGTTGCCCACATTCAGCCATGAAATTCACAAGATGGAGTGACTCTTAGCTTAGCCTACCTCACAGGATAAAATTGAGAGGAGTATGTAAGCCACTTGGGCTCCCTACAAGAGGGAAAAAGGTGGGATATAAATGCACTAAATAAATAAAGCTTTTGCATTCAAGTTCTTTCTAAAGACCCAGCTCAAACATACTGCCTGCAACACATTTTATTTTCTTTCAATTACTGCTTAGCTTTCAGCATATTTTAGGGGAAGTAGAGTGACATACTGTTAGGTCTAGAATGTATTGATTACCCAAATCCTAGGACAGAAGCAAATTAAAATAGTTCACATACACTGAATAAAAATATTGTATTAAAAACAGAAGACATTTATTGGTTGATTTGAGTCCAAAGAAATTTAAAACCCTATAGTTTCTTCAAACATTAAAATGTTTTCCATCATTCCCCAAGTAGAATTAAAAATGTGATTTCTTCTAGATCTATCCCCAAATACTAGTATTTTGCATTATCACCAACTGGTTCTGAAAACAAGATGAATAGGAATGTTATCACAGGATTACAGTCAAGGTACTTTTTTGATTAATACGAATATAGACTAAAGGGAGCAAGAAACCTAAAGGGACAGCCCAATTTTCTTGAACTGTTCTGGAATCCTATTCTCTATACTCTCCTTCCAATTCCAGCACCAAGCCAATTAATCATAATTATGCAAACAGCTATACTTATTTTAATGTATGGGCGAGTTACTTATGCAAAGTTTTAAGTAGGAAGCTAAACAGCTGCCAGTGTCTCAAAGATGAATATACTCTGCAAACAACCATGACTATAAAGGGTTGTTTTAAATATATTTAAATTAAGATATTAATTTTATGTTAATAAAATCAGCATGTGAAAGCTGAAGTCCCATGTACACATTTATAATACAATCCTTTCTGTGCATACTCAGAAGTAACTCCCATTGAATTCAGTGGGATTTGCTCCCAGAAAAGTGGATATAGGATTGCAGTTTTTGTTGCCTAATTTTGCATATTAATATTTGAAATAAATTAGTTAGATCAATTCATGTAACCTGGATATACATAATGGGAAGACCTGTGCATGCATTGCACCGATATTAATGGGAAATCTAAAATGCACACACATTACAGTGAAACATGTAGCCTCATCGATGGTTTGTTAAGGTGGGATGGGGGATTGTGCTACTATGGTGTGAAGAGTTACTTGTCTAACATATAAACTCACAAAGCAATTTACAACTCATAGCAAGCCATAAATGGGAACACTGATCTGCAAACACGTGTGCAATCTTCCCCAATATGCATTCCATGAACAGCACTAAACACTTTGAAGTCTAGAACATAATATGCAATGCTTGGTGTAGCACTACAGAAATAAATAGTGCTAACTCAGGGTACGCATTGCTAGTTCCTGTGCTTGAAGACCTACAATGGGAAATACACAGTCTTTACAGATTTTTAAAGAATAACACGTTGATTCAGTCTTCTCCAACCTGGTCACCTCCAGATATTTTAGGCTTCAGCTTGCATCAGTTTAATTCAGCATGGCCAACAGATGGGAAAACTAGGAGGTGTGGTCCAAAACATCTGAAGGGCAGCAGGTCAGGGGAAGCTGTCCCTGGAATGGGACAGACATGACAGGAGCAATGTGGCCCATCAATAGTGTACCACAGGTGCTAACCAAAGGATGCCTGTGCTACTCACATAATTATATTCTACAGAACATTCCTTCTACAAGTACTGATACAGCCAGCTGTTCTTTTTTGAGTGCCAGGAAAATACAATTTCCTTATAACTGCACTGCTGTATCTGAAAAAGATGTCTGGATCCTTCACAATACCAAGGCAGCAATTTCCGTTACAGAAACATAAAATGATAATTGGAGATGACCTTAAAATTTGAACTTACCACACATTAGTAAACAATCACTTGCTGTATGCAGCTATGCAGCAAGTCTGCTTAGCAGTGATATGTTCAGTATTTTCTTTTCTTCAATACTATCATCTTAAAAAAATCCACCCAAACCTTTACCATTTATTTATGCAGGATATATACTGCAGTTTCTCCACAACTACATATTAAAAGCTATTTTTGCTACTTTTGTAGGTGGCCTTAATTCTGTATGCTTTGCGATAAATTGCAAAGGACACAATTGACCCCTTGAAAACTGTGTCACTGTGCCTTCTGAAATACAATTTTTAATGCAACAGCAGCAATGTCCATGCATTTTGATGCATGCTGTATTATCTCTGTTACAAACTTCTGATTAAATTAGTTAAATTAGCTGATTAGTTTTCAGACTAGATTAGTTTTCAGGCGAGAAGTTGCTTTATTCTGTACCATCAGTACCATCAGTAAATTCCCTTTGGAATATCTTGCTTGAGCTTCCTTCTTTCTTAATTTCATGCCCCAATCATGTGTTTTGTCTACTATTTAACAAGTGCATCTAATTCCAAAAGTTATAACTACAAAATAAAATATTTGATTTGTGAGCCCGTAAGACACAGCCAGTCTGGGCACTGAAATGCAAAATGATTTATGATAAAGGCCGAAATGTCAGTGGCCAAATCACACAGTTCCATAATTTACTCTTGTCAACTACACTTTGGGGCTTTGTTGCTGAGCACAATATTGGCTGGTCCTTCTCAGTGGTTAGACTATGTTCAGCAGCCCTACTCCATTGCAGGGTAAAAAGATTTAATGCTTATTCTTCCAGCTCTACCCCCACTTTTTAAGTTAAGGCCATTTAGTATCAGTGCCAATATTGAGGTTGCAGCCCTAGAAATATTCTTATTTGCATGTATGCCCACTGGACTCAATAGGACTTATTTCTGCTTATATGTGTGTAGGATTGCACCATAAGTTACCACCAACAAATTCAACAACTGTTGAGATACTTTAGATGAAATGGTGATTCAAGTGGTTGTCTTCCATTTGCCACCTTCACCCTGATGGGGCCAGTTTGCAGATGCCTCTGGATTGTTAGTCCCCGACATCCCCATCTCTATCACCAATGAGCCACAGAAAGTGAAAACTCATTGCAAGTAAGGCAGTTCCAAGAAGGTCCCCAAGTGCAGTAAGGTAAGGAATAGAAAAACTGTCTGGATCTTTTCCCTTTTTCCAGAAGTGGTGCACCATCCAGTCAGCAATCCATAATAAGATAAACACCTATGGGAGAACAACAAAGAAAAAGTTATCTGGACACTATGTAAAATCGAACTGAAAAAAAAAATCCACAATTCCTACAAATGTATTTGAATATATCAACAGAGTTCCTAATGATTTATTTTTTGCAAAGAATGCCTATGTTAAATAATAAGTATACAGAGCTAGGATTTTAGGATGCAGTCCAATTGTATCCTTGGTGTTCAGAAGCCCCCAAAATATTATTACACTGCATTTATAGCTAGCTTTTTTCTTCTTCTTGAGAGTACTCCGATGTGGCATACATAGCCCTATTTTATCCCCACAACAACCCTGTGAGTAGATTAGGCTGACAGTAGGTCACTGTTCCAAAGTCATGGTGGACTGGGAACAGAACCCGGATCTCCAGTCCAACACTTTGACCTACCACATCACACCATCTGATCATACAATACAGGGTAGGAAGGACAGCACAGGGATGCTCACCCAAGGACTGATGCTCTGTCCATCGGTTTGGACCTTCAAGAAATAAGACTAACAAACCAAAGTGTTCTAATATTAAAACCCAAAATATTTCCTGGGTCAAAAACAGGAATAAAATATGCATATACATAGTTACCATTGGTATATTGAGCAAATTTTTCACAGAAAATTTTGTAAGTCCCCATTTCCTTAAAGATTATTTAAATAATTAACCTGATACAAAATTATAAATTAAGTACACTAATATTGCTAAAATTTTTCCTACTTTTGATCTCTTCTACAGCAGAATATTTAAGAAGTATCCCTATAGTTGGCAATTTCTTTCCCCTCTTTCCATTATGGAATATGCATAAGTTATTTGGATAAATATCCATGCTGAAAAGACAACTCTGTAGTCCAAGCTAATTATGCATGTGCTAGGTGTGCTATTTGGCAATCCAAACAAATATATTTGGAAGCACATATTTTCTTTGGAAGAGCCTGTCAGATTCTTTGAGACAGCGCCTCTTTCTCCAAGGCAGGCAAAAGTCTATACACAGTGATGCTAGCCAGTAAAATTCCCATGCAGAATCTGTCAGCCTATGGGAATTAAAAAAATATATACACAGACATACCACTCTAGTTATACATGCCCAATCTCCTGGCATACAACATCACAGTATTATTACTTATAGTTTTTATTTACTCCTATTATTGAAGTTGATCAAGACCACAGCACAACCAAGGAGCTCAAAGACAAATCTATCTCCCCTTCCCAGTACGCTGAGACGACTGCTTCAGCATCCTGTGTATAAGCAGAGGCTGCGTATATTACCAAATTCCAAAGATATGCCCTTGGGGGAGCAGGATGGGTGAGAAGGGGCCTGCAAATGCTCAAACCTGTAATCAGATGCAACAGCTGTGGATGAATACACAATGACTTTCCAGCAGAGGTTTGTGTTATTTACTTGAGGAAAAAAATGAATGATTGCAAATACTGTTTTTAAAAAAGAAACATTTGTAGAGATACATTTTTTAAAGACTTCAGAATTTATGTTCTGTATTCAGACATGTTCCTGAATGACTGGGTCATAGGAAAAATGATTATTATATGCTATTTTGTGATGTTATAAAAAGAAAAACGATTTTTGCTGAAAAAATGTTTTCTACAAGATACAGCTTGGAAAAGGGGGCAGTTGTCCTTTGGACGTAATATCACATAACAGCATGACTGGAGAAAGGCAAACAATTAGTATCTCAACACAATGCAGTTTAGATGTGTAGAATAGAATCACAGCAGCAGATACAAGGAGTGCTGCTAGCAAAGGTCAAACCTGCAGTTTACCCAAGCCCACTGTGGCCCTGACTGGCATCAGTTTTCTTGCATCTGAGATTTGCCACCTTTTCTACCTTTCTCAAGAAAATCTGGCATATGATAGCTAGTTAGATGGGCAGGCAGACAGACAAATTTGGGAACAAGCTCCATGCTGAGTTCTACTGTGCATCATGTGGTCTCACAGTTAGGGCCCTATCAAAAAGAAAGAACAAAGGATTGTGGCAGACAATACTGGGTCTATGAAAGCCCAAGGAAAACATGAATTCCTACAGAATCCTATTTGATCTCTGCCAGCTTTCATTTGTCTACTTATCTTTACATGTCCAACACGTATGGTATGGGGAGGAACATCTAGAAACTCCAAGGCTGTAATGCCCTTACCATTTTGTTTATCTGAGAAAACATGAAAACTTGAATGCTTGTATTTCTGACAATGTGGAACTGGGATTATGTGGACAGTCACAATCACCAGTAGCAGTTATAAACTCCAAATACTAATTGACCTGCCATCCATCCTACTGCTACCACAGGGACATATTCTGGTCATTTCAAGGTGGGATTGTGAATGGGAATTGCTACCTATGGTCCTGATGCAGTCTTCTGATGGAAATAGTGAGAACAAAGTTTGCCACATGATGTGGCTCCCTGTTCTGGTTCACATGTAATTTCAACTACCGGTTGTCCTGCATGGTTAGGTGAGAAAGAATTAGCACACTGCTTTCTGCAGACACACCACTTCCACTTTTAATCAACAGTCTACAATTCACTGATTTGTAGGTTGTCAAGTGTGATCTGAGAACCCAGTCAGCAGGATTGTTAAGGGACTAAACAACCCAGCAGTTAACACATGACCTGTCACTGGGTTAACCTCTGGATTTCTGTTTAGTTCCTAAAGAATGCATTAGTCCGTGTTTGTATGTCATGAACAAATAAATCCATCATATATTGTTGATTAAACACAGTGGAAGTGGGCGGCATGCTGCAGACAGCATAGCCATTCTCGCCAACTCATCCATGAAGCCCATTAATGGTTCACATTGTTCAACTGTTGTTGTTCTATGCCCTCTGTCTTCTTATGGTCTTAAAGAACCCAAAGCCATTTTATGAAAGCAGACTGTTGCTATGTGTATAGCCTACACAGCCCTTGTTTACATTTTCTAAGCAAGAAACACAGCAAAGTGAAGCTGCACATGTTACACAGTGAATTTGTAACACTTTTGTCTCAACTTAAGCCCTCATCTATAACATTAATTATCTTGTTATCAATGTTAATACAGAATTGCAAATGTTTGTTAGTCTGAAGTCAAGAATACTTTCACATCATTTATTAGAGAAATGGCACGCTTACTAGCAGGAACCCTCTGGAACTTTGCCCACTTCTGATCTTATGATCTGTGTATTATGAAATATCAGTGCAATTCACTTAAAAGCCAAGCTGCCCCTCAAACAAATGATAAATAAATAAATAAGCTTTCTGACATGTTGTAGATGCTTTCCCCCTTAACCATGGGCAAAACTCTAAACCAGTCCTTCCGAACCTGAAGCCCTCAGGTGATTTTGTAGCACTCCCAGCATTCTTGAACAATGGCTAGGCTGGCTGATCAGAGCAGAACTCCAAAACATCTGAAGAGCATATGGCAAAGACTGCTTCATACAACTGATCAATTTATGTCTTTTCCCATTATTGTACTACAAATACATCTTTGGGGTAAGTATAGCTCTATTTTTAAAAAGTCATGGCAATGTAGTCCAATACTGGAACTGACCCTAAATTTAAATTGTAGCAGATATATTGATGCAGATATATGCCATCTTCATATTGTTAGAAGAACAGCCAGGATGAATGTGGTCTTATTAAGTTTTTATTATTTTTTCTTCTCTAGACCCATTAATTTCTGCTGCTTGTATGATGGCTTTAAGCCAATGTTGTCCTCCCAATATTAAGGTGTAAATATTTCCAAATGATAATTAACTGCTAGGGGACCAGAGTGTTATTTTTAGAAGAGAAGGGTCAGCAAGTAATCTAATGAATTCTGACTTACAAGAGCAAAAAATACTCAAAATGTGTAATTTTGCAGAACAACAATTCTTATTCTTAGTGGATACAATCAATTTTATTTTACCCTGGCAAATTTATTGGGCAATAACATCTAGAGTTTCCTATTACTTGTTTATTCCCAGAGCCCTTAACACAACTGTGTTCTGAGATTTGCCTCGGAGGTGTGAAAATTCCAGAGGGCTCTTTACTGGCTCAGCAGGAACCTGAAGTACAGAGGCTGCCTTTGAAAGTCACAAACACTGAATCACAAAAAAAATGACGGCTTGGTTACTCCAGTCTGGCCTTCAGTCTGAAGATGGCTGACAAGTCTCAAAATGAAGCCTTTTTCTTTATACCCAGATGAATATAGTTCAAGAGGCTGCACTTTATTATTATTTTAAAGAATATCATTCAATCATATATATGTGGCTGTCACAGAGCAATAGTCTTTTATAAAGAGTACATCAACTGCCTCATTTTGTATCATTTTGTTTCCATCCATGGATCTTACTTAATTCAAGCAACAATCAATAAATAGGGACTTCATTAGCATATATTAGTTATCCAAATCCAGAACGGATGGATTAGAACTGGTTATAGACTAAGAAACAATTAAACATGTCAAATATTTACAATTCAGTTCATGCAATACGTAAATCATACACAAGAAGTAAAGTCCTCAGACCCAAAAAATGACTGTATACTCACAGTGTAAGAGTAGGGCATGGAACCCTCAATCACCTGGCAATATTATTCAACCACATCAAAAATATACACAGTGACATACTCAATACACGAAAGTGATGGATGTGCTATTGCTATATTAAGGGTATCTCTGACCTCATCTGCTGATATTGACTCATCTTGTGATACAAATGTGCACTGAGCATGGAGTCACTATGTGTTGTTCTTTCAAAGTTGCTACAGTAATTTTTGGATAGCATGTGAAATATCTCAACTGCTGCTAAAATACATAGGCTCTTAGCTAGAGAACATTAATTGTATTTAAGTCCCTTTAAATACATGGAAAATTGTGACTAGTTAGGCCTGTGATTTGTGTTCCAGTTTCATTAAAATTACTTTTCTCTTGGTTGGATCCCATTATTTTTTCTTAGAAATTTCACAATGTAAGATGTCTCTTGTATAAGCTGTGAGGTAATAACTGCCCATGGATTATATCTCTAGGTTGGGTTGTTTCTTCTTCAAGTATAGCCATAACAGAAAACAACCCAGGGAAGCAGACACAATAAAGGCAGGCAAGCAATCAGCACCAGCATCCTCCCCCTGGCTACCAAACAAACCATGCTTAGCACATCATGGCTTGTTCAATCATTGAGTAGCATGAAACAAGAACCTTGAGAGTCAACAGCATTGGAGATATTCTAACCCAGCCTTCCCCAACCTTGCCCCTTCCAGACCTTGTCCCTTGTTCAAGACCCAGAATTCCCAGTCAATAGCCCTGCTGGATGGGAATTCTGGGAGTTGTGGTTCAAATGCCTCTGAAGACCACCAGGTTGGGGAAGGCTGCTCTAACCCATTTCTCACTTTGATCTCCTAGGACAGGGGTGGAAAGCCTCCAGCCTCTGGATGTACAGAAGTTTCCCATCTATCCCTGTGGAGGCCCCCTTCCTCCAAGCCCCACTCTTTGGTAAAAGAATAGCTGCTGTTATCTGCAATCACTGAAAAGCAATGGTATGCAAACCCAGGTGCTCTTCCTGCCATCTCTGAACTCTCCAGAACACCACAGGAAGGGAGGGTTTAAAAGCCAAAGCTTACCCAAATAGTGGTTTTTTCTCAAATGTTCAGGGTGATAGGTTTGGGTGCTCTGGAATAGCTGTTGGGGAAAGGGATTTTTCCACTATTTATTCCCCCCCCCACACACACACACACGAGTCCTCACACACCTTTAACAATTACCTACAAAGAGCAGAACAAGACAAGAGAAATTTACTTGACTACTTTATTCTGCCATTATTTTGACACTATGTCAAATGGCAACACCTTAATGATGATTTACAGTTTATGTTTAGTCAATTCATCAGACTCAAAATGATGTTTTGAATATATTAAGGGGAGTTTTCTGGGACTAAAAAGTCACACATTTTCTTTAACGAAGCAATGTTAACTGATCACAAGAAACAAGCTTAGAATGGTGTCACAACAGAAGGAAAATGCAAACAGAGAACTGCAAAGTTTCAACCTAAAATCAATGCAATGAATAATGAATTAGATAGGATAAAACAATGCTATATCAAATCAATCCATATTTCAAGAAGTTCATAACTGATTATTATTGCTTTGGGACATTATTTTATTCTGGCTTTATAGAGATATTTTTACTTCAAACACAAACTACAGTATACTAAGTTTATTTGTCAAAATGCAGGTGTTGTAAGATAAAAAGTATGGCTTCAATAGGAAGTTGAACGAAAGAACATTCTTATGCAAGGGAGACTTAGTACTTCCTAAGGAAGCTCAGAAAGAAATTAGAAACACTAATTTCTGGAAGGAAGCTGGTCAAGGAAGCATCTCCCTTATGTGAGTTCCACCAATCCATCTCCTTAACCGAAATGAGTTATCCTGGAAGAGTTAAAGTGCTCTTATGCAACCAGTGGCAGCTTTAATTGTTTAACTGTTAATGGTATTTATTTTTATTCTTTGGCCAGGGCGACTTATTTTATACTGTTATATGAGTTTTATATTGTTAATTTATGTATTTTAATTTATTTATTTGTAAGCCGCCCCGAGGCTTCAGCAAATGGGGCGGCCTAGACATTTTCTAAATAAATAATAAATAAAATAAAATCTGAGCAATGAAGCTGGTGGGGCAGAAGAGAATCAGTGGACAGAAGAGAACTGGTGAGAGTGGAAGTAAATGCCAAGATTCCAACCACCAAGATTCCCTTCCTGGCTTGGGTCCAAAATACCTTAAGGATTGCCTTGGCACATGCATTCCGCCTCACCAGCTAAGGTCCTCTGGGGATAATCTTCTGAAGTCTACTTCTGTCAGATCAATGTCAACTATCCAGAAGATTTTTTCAGTGGTTTCCCCTAAGCTGTGGAATCATCTGATTTCCCAAATTCCCATCTTTACGAGGAAGTTAAAGACGTATCTCTTCCAACAGGCCTTCCCAGATTAATTCTCATGTCAGTTTTATTTAATATGTTGTCTTACTCAGTGTTGGTTTTAATTTCTTATAAACCGCCTAAAGCCTATGGGAATGGGATGATATATACATGTCAAGATAAAAGATAAATATTCTATTAGACTCTGACTCCTGATACTACTTTTTATGAAGCTTTTCTCCTTATTGGCTAGAAAAGTAAGGAATGTGTCAAAGAAAGAAGAGGAACGAAGAGATTGGAAACAGAGAGCCTAAGAAGTGGCTTTAAAAGGATAGTCTCTGTGTGTTTTAGGAACATGTTTACTTAGGTAGAACTCCCACAAAAAAGGATACAGCCCATAGGATTCTGCTGCATCCCACATACTGAAGTGGATACAGCACAATCTCATTTGAAAGAAAAGACTGGGATTATACTTCAAGCCATGCAATAGCAGCAAAACAGTGTTCAGGGTGTACCAAGCAGAGATACCTGAGTTATGCAAGTTGATATTTGAGTGTGGGCAAATGCACACATGGACTAAGGTGCAATTTAATATTGAACTACACATATCATCTCAGGAAATGAATAAACAAAGGGAGGATTGACATGCCAGCATCATATGTATTCTCGTAAAAGCTACCTATGCCTGTTGGCTAAAGATGCTATAGAAGGAACATATGAAAGACTAAAGATGGAAAGTTAAAACAGCAGTTTTGTGTCCAGCTTGTGAATGCTAATACAGCTAATAAATCAGTAATAGTAGATATTTCACAGAGGAGACAGAAGAACTAATAAGTATACCAAAGCAGTGAAAATAATTTTAGAACATTTTCATATAGTATGGTTATTGCTTCTAAAGCTACACAGGCTCCTGATATCACCTAATTATGCAGGCCAGAACTACAGCCCTGCTATGAAGGAAATCTAACATCTGTCTGCCCTGACCAAAAGGTACAAGTAAAAATCATTAAAAAAGCAAAAGGAGCAAGGAAGTAAACCAGGCTGGAAAGAACTGAGAAACAAATTTCCCAGGAATGCAAAAGATGGAAAAACTGATGTTTATTCAAACAATTTATGGCACTCAAGATTAACATTAATTCATGAAAAAGGACATTGGCTTGCTCTATGTTTGAGAACAAACTTTATACATTATGTTCTTTGGAAACCAGTATTTAATAGATCTAGTGTTCCCAGATTGCTTTATCCATACCTGCAGAAGGGCTGTGATCAAATATACCACTATGAAGATTGGAGTCAAGGATGTGTGACCGCTCTTCATTAAATGAATAGTGTACAAGAAAATTAAATGACCAGGAATCACCAACAGTAGAAGAACTTGGGCTGATTTATTATTTACTCCTGCAAATAGGAATACAAACATGGTAAGCTTATTTATATGGGCAAGAAGGCAGTGCTGATTATTCACTGGTGACAATTAGATTAGTTACTTAATTTGATTATTAGTCCTGGAAAGTTAGTAAAATCATTAGTGAACATTAAAATGCCAACCATTTTTAAAGGATTGATATGAGATAAAAAAAAAAAAAAAAACAGAACGGTAAAATTCTTGTATCTGCATAGCTGACCTCCCTCTACAAAATTCTGGCATCCTTCCTGCTATTGTCACATGCTGTCTTGTAGTCTCTGACTTGCAGCAACCCTATGAATAAATGTCCTGCTAAATCTCCTGCCTTTCACAACCTGCTCAGCTCTTGTAAATTCATGGCTGTTGCTTCCTTTATGATATCTTCTTTTGCATTTTACTTTTCCTAGCATGAGTGTCTTCTCCAGTGAGACTAGCCTTCTCAGAATGGGCTCAAGGCTCCACAGCTTCAGTTTTGTCATTTTTTTCTTCCAAGGAAACTTCTAGGACCCACTTGTTCATTGTTCTGTTAGTCCAGGCTATTGATAAAGCTATCCTTCAGCACCATGTTTCGAATACATTCTTTTTCCTCATGTCAGCTTTCTTCACAGTCCAGCTTTTGCACCCATACATAGTGATCAGAAATACAATAGTGTGGATGATCTTGAGCTTGGTCTCCAGTGTAACATTCTTATACTTGATGCTCTTTTCTAGTTCCTTCACTGATGCCTTTCCAAGTTTCATCCATTTTTTAAATTTCTTGACTGCAGTGCCCCGTTGAATTGATGACTAAGCCAAAGTATGCAAAATCTTCTACAATTTCATTTTTTGAACTGTTGACATTATAATTGTGTAATACTTCTGTGGCCATGCTTTTGTTTTCTTAGTATTCAGCTCTGAAATATCTTTCTCCCTATCAAAGGAGGGCCAGTTCTCATGCTCTGAGAATCTTCCCTAAGTAGCTTTGAAATTACAAAGTTATCTGCCCAACTCTGCCCTTGTCTCTTTCTCCTCAGAATTGGATGAATTTATCTGAGTAGACTCCATTGTGTGAAAGCTGGGATCCTTTCTATGTTAATATTATAGGATCTTCCTCACAGGATTTTCTTTCCTCTTTTTTTTTTAAACCTTCTATATAGTTCCTCCACATACTCTTCCACTTTCTCTTTTTTTATCCTGGTCAGATAGTATGTTCCCCTTTTGATCTTTCAGTGCTCCTGATCTAGGTCTGAATTTCCCTTTGATTTCTTGGGTCATCTTGGGCCTCTCACTTCTTCTGTTTTTTTGTTCCCTTCTATTTCTTTGCATTGTAAATAGTTCTTTTTGTCTCTATGTGATAGTCACTGCATTCAGGATTTGGAGCTCCTCTGGCAAGCCTCATAGGAGGCTTCTGTGTGGCTCCCATGACCCACAGGTTATGATGCTTGGTACAGGGCAATGGAGCTCAATTAAATGCAGATAACAATATGTTCAGTAGTAATATTTGTTTTAAGGATGAAAATATAGTATCTGCTGAATACAATGAAAATAGAAAGCCAGAAATGACTATGTGTACATAATACACACCTGTGCCACAGTATGTCCTGCATGGATAATAGCAGCCCTTGGCTTCTTCTGGTAATTCTCCAGGAACACTGTGTAAATGTAAATATGTAGAAATTCTGCTTGCTTGAATTGCGACTAGATTTCCACCAATACCTAAATAAAACCAGGGAAGAGGGAAGGACATTTTAATAACAAGGCAACAGAGAAAAGTTGTAAATGTAGCAGTAAATTTTCTGGCATCTCTAACAGGATACTAATTTATTCTATTATGCCTGTCACACACAGGAGAAGACATGACACTCGCACTGCATTTTCTCACTTGATGATGATTAAGCTATCATTACTTCTGCTAATATAGTTATTTAGTGGCAACAGTTTGGTAGGAACATCATGAAAAAAGAAGGACACAATGTCAATCAAGCCAACCTAAAATCTAATTAGATTTATAGAATAGATTCGACTTGAATAGCTGTCATGAGAGTCCACTGGGTGCAATGAATATGAGTAAGTAAGCCTGGATGTGAAAACACCGGTTTCTAATCAACAGTGAAGCTGAAAGTCAGAAGCACCTCTCTCTTTCTCACATTGTCTCATCTACCTTACAGGGTTGGTGCCAAGGCTGTAACAGGGCAGTAAACATTTTGAAGAAATTTAAGAAAACAAACAAACAAACAAACAAACACCCTTACCAGCCACGAATGCAACTACTTATTATGTTTGGGAGCATATTAACTACTTTCCCCTTCTATTCTAGAGTAGTAAGGAAAAAAAATTGCCTCAATTTATACTTATTATTCAATAGCTTTCTTGTCCCACAGACACAGTACATTCCAATATTGAAAAGTAACCATTACCATGCCACAACAATATATTATTCTATTTCAGCGTATTATGTGCAAGAAAAAAAAGCAAGCATGCTTGAGGACAAGCCTTAAAATGGCTTAGAACATCTAAAATTCCATTCTGTAACTACATCTATATTGCATTGGTCTTGCACATATGAGTCTTCTGGCAATGCTTGGCTGGGAAAGCGTGCCACTCAGATCATTCAGTTCCTCAAGGTGGGTTACACAGCAATTTGCAATCCAGTTTCTATTAGAGAATGGCCAATTCAGATGACACAACAGCTCACTGTGGGTTAACTTACCCAGAAGGTGCTGCAGCATGTGCTGGCTGCCATTATGAATATACAAACCTGGACTGGGGGTTATCATGACCAGTCATATGATGTGAACTCTGCTGATAGGGGTTCTTTGAGGGTTAAACCACTCTTGCTTAACCATAAAACAGACAAGTGAGCCACTGGATACTTGGGCAGGATAAATTTCATTTAATTAATAAATAATTCTGTTGTCCTGAGCATTGATTAACACGAGGTGGGTTACTTTGTCATCCAAATCAGGTCTATGTACAGTTGTCCATTTGGATGGGATTACAGAAAGGACAGCTACAGATCGATATCCTGGGAGGGGTAAGCAGGGAATTCTGAAGCAAAGACACTGAAGAAGGGATACAGTGCAGACAATACAGAGATGGAAAAGAAGCTGGTGGCTTGAGGAATGGCAGAGAAAATAAAGAACTGAGAAATGAAAGAACTACACAGATAGGATAATTTGAAGCCTCTACTACAGTGCTTATGAGACTGAGAGGCTGTATTAGGTTGGGGGAGAAAGCGAAGTGCTAGAAAGTCTGGTCACGGAAACAAATGAGTAAAGAAGTCAGGAAAACTGAAAAGGCTTAAAGGGGAGGAGCCTGAGGAAAGTGAGTAGAGGAGACACAGTGAAAGGAGGAGTCTAGGAAAACTTGGATAAGGTATAAACTTAGAGAAAGGAGGGGTGGTGCACTGTTGGCATGAAATAAGAGAAGAGGCAAAGGAAAGAGAAAACAGCACAGACTACAGACACCAACAGCAGAATCCTGTTTGTAGTTTCTATCGTGATCTGGCAACCTTTCGGGAGCAATGATGACCAAGAAAGGGTGATCAATTGTGATAGTGGGGGTGGATTTCACTTGATGTGAGTTTCTTGCAAAATCACAAATCCCTTGAACTGTACAGCTTAAAACCTGTAGTAAGGACCCTGCATGCTCTTGAAAGGCTGAAAACGTAGAGCCAAACTGCACATGATGTGGCATACTTGTGGAATGCTCCTAGCTTTTTAAAGTTTTGTATGCTTTACTACAGCCACAGAGGTTCTGAACTTGATGGGACCAGTGGGGCAAGGGGGGGGGGGACATGCTTAAGCCATTTTTCCCAGCAAGGGAAGCACACTCCAGCTTCTGCTGTCCAGAACATCAAAGACAACCTGGCACACCTATTGATCAGAGAAGGAGTACTTGCAACAAACTGACTTTCCCTTTCCTGCCAGAAAAATAAACACTTGGCTTCAACTGAGAGCTGCCCTGGAACTGCAGCTGGGGAACATCCACTGACCTAAGGAACAAGAGCATCAATCAAGCAAGGGGAGATCAGACTATCCTGAGGTGCATTTAAATGCTAGCTTATAGTTCAACGTCTTGTTCTTGCCTTGAAAAATAATCTCCTTCCTCTTCCATTTTCCTTCACTCCCCTTGCGTGTCTTGCCATTTTAGTTTGTAAGCTGAATATCAGGGCCAGCTTTCTCTCTTTTTATTATTGATATTAGCCACTTTGAGAGACCGTGATTGTCTGGAAAGCCAGATTAAAATGCAGTAAATAAATAAATCATAACAAAATTGCC